ACACACACACACACACACACACACACACACACACACACATATATAACTCACTTATGGGCAGCATATTACTTGTTGAAGAAATTACACTAAAATGACTTACATATAACATTTGGTAATTCTAGTAATAATAATGTTGTTGTTGTTATGTGCCATCGAATCAGACTCGACTCATAGCGACTCCTCCTTGGGTTTCTGAGGCAGTATCACTACAGCAGTAGATTGCCCCATGTTCCTTCCAAGGAGTGGCTGGTGGGTTTGAACCACCAGCCTTCTGGTTAGCAGTCAAGTGCCTTAGGCACTATGCTACCAGAGCTATTATAATAATATAATATAATTCTAATAATAATAGAAAAATATCAAAGGAAGGTTTTTCAGGTAAACATGGGAAGGGTTACCTACACAAATAAATAGACCTAAAATCATTGGTTTGTGTAGGTTACCCAACTACCTTGAAAGTTAGAAATCTGGAGATGTTATCAGTATTAGGTCAATTTGCTGAAATAACCCACTAAACTAAAATTCTAAGGTCTTAATACCAAGGAAACAAGCTCCACAGAGCTTTTGTTTATATATAAAAATTATCACCAACTGTTTTCATGTCCCTTTGTTGTAAAGACATTCTGCAAAATCTCAGATTTTTTATTATTAGACATAGCAAATTTCATCTATTCATGTGCAAAACTGTTCCTTGGAAGACTTAGTGGGAATTTTTTTTTTTTTTTTTAGATTATAGCTCAAGTTTCAGATACTTCTCTAGTTATGGTATTTATAACTTTGTTAAGTCTATCAATAGAAACTTCATGGAGTTACATTATCTAAATTCATTTAAAATCTAATGATTATATTATTTCTTCTAATGCAAGAACTAGCTGTTTCAGTAGCTAACAGTAGTATGTTGATTATGAATTTTCTTATCTCCTTTAAGGTTTCTTTTCTGGTTCTTAATTTTAGATTGCTCTCATATTTCTTATTTTTCCTGTTGGTTAATTGATTATATATAAACACTTAGGAATAGTGTAATAAGAACCAGCCAAAGTCTGCAGGTGAAAATAACAAATTCATTAGAGAATTTAGGGGAAAGGAGAAATTAATGGTTTCTTACACCCTAAAAAATAGACTATCAAAATATCAGTAATATTTCTGTCTAGCAGTCTTTCAGTTCTTATTGCTCTGTATGGTTAAGTTTTATTTCCTGGGATCCTGGATCAGCTGCAATACAGCCTGTGAACTTGTCACCTATTACACCAGAGTTCTGGAAATCTGGATCCAATCTAATAAGATTCAGGCTCAAAATATCACAGTTCTTTTCCATAAGTTAAATGGTCCACTTTTCTGTTGGAATATTTTGGTCAAGTGTTTCAGAAAGTCAACAAAGCAACGCTTCTCTGTAGGTGACAAAACTTAATATTGTTGTTGTTATGTGCCATTGAGTCGGACTGACTCATAGCAACCCCTCCTTGGGTTTCCGAGGCAGTATCACTACAGAAGTAGATTGCCCTATCTTCCTTCCAAGGAGTGGCTGGTGGGGTTGAACCGCCAGCCTTCTGATTAGCAGTCAAGTGCCTTAGGCACTATGCTACCATGGTTAATTCACAAAAATCTTTTAAAGTGTGAAACCTGATGGGAAATCAATTATAAAACCAATGTAAAGCCAAATGAGTCAATTTAAAACCGAAAGGAAAGTTAGATGAGAGTATCTCCAAATATGATTAACCTTATTTTTGGAGAGTTTTAAATATAGCACATAATTATCTTGATACATATTATTATATATTAAGACTGTAAAGTCTCTAAACATGTGAATTAAACTCTACAGGTGAGTAATTCGGCCAGATAAACTCACTGGTTTCTTTAATGCTGCTCTTAAAAGATAAACTTGTGACCAAGTTAGCAAGCAAAATAACTAAAACTTTGACGTGATATCATGTGCTTGCTGTCTAATATTAGGCAAAAAACATAAGAAAAACCAAAAACAAACACACTGCTATCTAGTCAGATCCAACTCATAGCGACCCCTCCTTGGGTTTCCGAGGTGGTATCACTACGGAAGTAGATTAGCCAACCTTCCTTCTGAGGAGTGGCTGGTGGGTTTGAAATGCTAGCATTCCGGTTAGCAGTCTAATGCCTTAGGCACTAAACACTAAGACGAATTTTCAATCGAAAGAGAATTAGTCATTTTTTTTTTTTTTACAACCTACTCAAGTAATCTAAATCTATGATCTACCAAATAAAACTATAGCACTTTTTTTTTTTTTTTTTTCCCTAATCTCTTGGGGCTTTTCATAAAGTTTGTCATAGTTTATTATAAGCTACTAAGAGATAATTTCTAATCTATTTAACTAAAATTCTAAAGATAAAAACTATAATTTTTTCAAAATCACACCTCTTGGTCTGACTCAGTAATCATTCTTGCTTTGGAGGCCCAATTAGAAAAGGAAAGAATTCTTTAAATTAGTAATGAAAGAAATTTGTTACTTCAACTGTAAGAAACCCAATTTAGTGTTTTATGTGATACTTAGCATTAAAGCTCCCAAAAAATCTGAAACTATTGCACTTCAACCAAACAGATAAAAACTTGACTATATTAAATAAGTTTATTTTAATAAATCTTTTAAACAGTCTGTTGCACATCTCATAACTCTTTAAATGGCAACATGAAATGAACACACTTATTAGCAGACTTGAATATGAATATCCTTTCTCAAAAAAAATATGAACTTTACATTATAACCAATATTCAACTCAGTTATTAGTAAATTATTTAAAGATCTTGAAATTATATATCACAAGACATAATTACTGCTGAAAAGTTTTGCTTAAATATTTCAAATTCTTGTTTAAACTTTTACTTATTTCCCCAATTTTAAATTTAACCCTTTAAAATTGTACCAGCTAGTTTTGAAAATTACAAACTTTTTGTCCAGATGACCAATTCATGAATAAAACTTTAGATTTCTGGCTTGAAGTGGAAATATTTCTCAAAATGATCTCACTTCTAATCTCCGTTTTGGCTTTATAGAATTCTCTTGCAATGGTGAGAATCTGCCCATGATCCTCCATGATGAGGGTCCACCTAAATTTCTGATAACTATAATAAAATAAAGGAGCTCTGGTGGCGTGGATCTAAGGCATTTGACTGCTAACAAGAAGGTTGGCGGTTCAAACCATGGTCAAACAACTCCTCAGAAGGAAGGTTGGTCAATCTACTTCCTTAGTGATACTGCCTCAGAAACCCAAGGAGGGGTTGCTATGAGTCGGATCTGATTTGACGGTAGCAACTTTTTGTTTTATTTGTATTAAAAGTTTCTAAGAGTAGCTACTGAAAGCCTAATTCATAAAACAGCTGCAGGAAGCAGTTTTATTTGGAGCTGAGGCTTCTACAGAGTGACCTCTTGGTGGTGCAGAGGAAGATAAAGGAAACCCAGATTGAATGCACTTTGGATTAGAAGTGAAGTCCTCAAAATAGAATTGCATTCACTTTTCTAAGTGACTCACTACAGATCCCGTCCAGGTGGACACTATCTTGAATGAAAATCATACACTCATTAGGTCTCTGAAGTAAGTTTCCTTCATTGCCTCTGAAGACCATGATTGGGCTACATACAAAATTTCAGGTTAAGGAAATTTACTGAATTGGTTCTAGGGTTTTGATTACATGGCTATGTGGTGGTCAGGATCTGACTCATGATCTTGTGACCCTGAGTAATAGCCACAGGTGGTTATAAGATAATATCCAGATGCTCAAACTTTAACTTAAATTAAATGACATGTGGCAATTTTTTATAAATCATTAAGGACACACCCAGGCAAGTTCCCTACTTCTTTGTATAAGCCTGAGGGCACACTGCCCTTCCTGAGCTTGCCCCAACCTTGTCTAAGTGCAGCCACATTGCTGGTTTAATGGTCAGAAAGAACTCATATGGTACCTGAGCTTATCTCAAAACTCGAAATGGACTGAGAGGTTTCCGCTATAGACTGCAGCCTTCTGCAAACCACATGTTTTAGAATTTGAGCTCTAATGCAGGTTCCATTAGTGGATGTACTCAGCTTTTGATTTTTGTTAATATTGATCTGCTTGATTTTAGACTTAATTGGCGAAGAAGATGGTTCATTCTAAAATGGAAAAAGCCATACCCGATTCAGCTGCTACAACCAATAATTTTCCATTACTAAATGGAAATGCTAATATGGAAAAGGATATGTGTATACCAGAGAAAAGGCAGGACCAGGTAAGCTGCTGTCTGACATCTCTGCCTAGACGGCTCACAATGCCTGCTGGGCTGTTTTTCTGAGGACATGGGTGCAGAGTTTCTGCTCCCTCTGCTTATCTATCTCTCTCTTTCAGCCAAATCAGATGTTTTGCTATAACTGACTGTGGCAACCATACAATTTAGGTCTGAGTAACCAGGCGAGGCACTGATAGGCTCATGTAGGAATTGACCTGAACCCTGGGCCCATGACCCTGATATTATCACCTGCCCCAGGCATAGTCCCTTCTCCAGCTGCAGACCCTATGAGGTGGCATCATGACAACACTTCTATAGGGATCCATGTGCTGTCTTTGCTCCCAAAATCACACACATTTTTTGTGGGAACCAAACATGGGCTCTGGAATCAATTGGAGCTGAACCAGGTCCCATTGCTGACACTTCCAGCTGTGTGATTTTGGATGTCTGTTTTTACCTTTATAAAAGCCTGATTTTCTGTCTCTGAATGGGGAGAATAATAGTGTTAACTTCACATGGCTGTTGCAATTTATTGCTATTGTAATTTTTTATTATTACTGTGATTTGGGTGAGTGCAATTTTACAAACCAGATTCATTTTACATTCAACAGTTCATACACATTTTATTTCATGACACTGATTATAATCCCCACAATTTAACAGCTCTCCTCCCACCTCCTCCATGTGGTTGCCCTTCCCCTATGTCCTTCTTACCTATGCATTTCTGCCTACCTAACTTTCTCCCTGGCAGATTTTGCCCTTCTGATCTCCCCTGGTTAACCATTCTAAGGAGTATATCTCTGCAAAAATGGCAAGGAGGCCACAAGTTCTGACCTCCTCTAACCCTACAAGGGGAAGGCAGGATTACCAGCAGTAACCCAAGGCCTACTACTGCAAGGCCAAACATGCTGCCTCCCTCCAGCCCTTTCACCAACCGTTCCTCCCAAAGCACCCACCACCTCTCTCCTGGGTTCGATAATTCGCTGCAGTGGCCACACAGAACTCACCGATTACAGGGTTTATTAGGGAAGCACCAGGCTACAACTCAAGTCCAGGAAGAACGCTCAGTCTCTCTCCCAGCCCACCGTCCCTCAGCCAAGAGTCTCTCACAGTCTCTTTTCCAGCAGTGCTGGTCCCTCGGTGTCTCTTGCGGCTCTTTCCCAGCAGCACGTGTCTCTTTCAGGGGTGCGTGTCTCTTTCGGCAGCACGTCTTCCTCCACCAGCAGTCAGAGAGAGTTCTGCCTCCAGGAGGCCTCCTTTTGAGCCCGGAAGGGTGGTCAAACTAGCCAATCACAGTATCAGAACTCTAAGCATGTGTGAGAGAGTGGGAACCTCCCAGAACATTGTATTGTGCCATGCCCAACAGAAATAACCCAGGTGGATAGTTCCTCAGTTGCTCATAGAAAATCCCACCTTGGAGTTTACAAAGACTTATGGGTAGAAAAGCCACACTAAGTAATTTACTACACCGCAATCTCCCTGGTATAGGTGTTCAGCTTGCTCAGCCTATCTGTTTGGCTGAGAGTTGAGCCATGGGAGTGAGTCCAATTCCAGGCCTGAAAGGCTGCTGAAATTGGACTCACTCCTGTGACTATTGTACATTTTTAAATCATGGATCATCAATCCCTTTCGGAATGACTCCAATTTCATAAACAATGTTAAACAATATTTCAAATAATAATAACAATGCTGAGAGGAATAGAAAAACAAACAGGCCTACCCATTTTTCCACACCCCTAACCTGGCTTTACATTTGCATGCATTTTTTCTTCCATGTCCATCTCTGTACCTGCTGGGTGAGAGACACTTGCAACTCCTGAGGGTGGCTGCAGAAAGTGTTTCACCTGCTTAGGAATCAGCGTGGCCTTTATCCAGTCATGTTGAGCACAGATGCATCTTGCAACCCAGTGATTCATCTTCTAGGTATAACCCTTAGAGCTATGATTCTCAGATATGATCCTCTGACCAACATTATCAGTGTCAACATCACTTGGGATATTGTTTGAAATTCACATACTCAGCATGCCCTGGCTTTCCTCACCACCTAACCAGTAACCAGCTGTCATGGAGTTGGCCCTGACTCATAGTGACCCCATGTGTGTCATAGTAGACCTGTGCTTCCTAGGGTTTTCAGTGGCTGATTTTGCAGGAGTAGATCACCAGACCTTTCTTCCAAGATGCCTCTGTGTAGACTCGGACAGCCATCTTTTCAGTTAGCTCCCAAGGAGTTAACCATTTACACTACCCAGGGACTTTAATGCCCTTTTGTTGTTGTGTGCTGTGGAGTTGATTCTGACTCACGGTGACTCTATAGAACAAAGTAGAATTGTTCCATAGGGTTCTCTAGGCTGTAATCTTTGTAAGAGGAGATGATCAGGTCTTTTTACCCATCAAGCTGCTGGTGTGTTTAACCGTTGACCTAACCCCCAAGACCTATCAAACTAGAAACTCTGGAGTGGTGCCCAGCTATCTGTGTTTTAACATGCCCTTCAGATGATTAGAGATAGCTGAAGTTTGAGGACCCTTTCCTAAGAGAAACTCTTGCACCTGCCCAGGGAGCCATGTTCATAGCTGCATTGCTTCTAAAAGCAAAATTGGACATAACACAAGTATCCCTTTGCAGTGGAAAGGATACATAAAGTGTGGTATGCTTATGCAGCAGAATTGGATACAGCCGAGAAAATGAGTGAACTAGTGTACAGGCATGGAGATGGTGAGTCTCAAAAACAATGCTGAACCAAAGGAGCAAGTCACAGAAGAAATATCCACTCTGATCCCATTTATTTGATCTTTTATACAGGCAACAATAAGGCTTAGAGAGATTTATAGGTGATAGGTATAAAGAAGAGCAAGAACATCATTATCACAAACCTGGGATAGAGGAGCCCTGGTTGGATAAGGGGATCTAGTAGGAGAGAGGTGACTGGGAGGAGTACATGAAGTTTCCTAAGTACTGGGACTGTTTTCTTAAGCTGGGTGGTTGGTATGTGCATATTCACTTTACTATTCATATTTTATGTGTTCTTATGAATGGTAAAGTAGAGGGTCAGCCAGAAAGGGGAAGACCCTCAACAAGGAGATTGACACAGTGGCTGCAACAATGGGCTCAAGTATAGCAGGGATTATGAAGATGATGCATAACTGGATAGTGTTGCACTCTGCCATGCACAGGGTCGCTATGAGTCAGAGCCGACTTGATGGCACCTACCAACAACAACAACAATGAATGGATGACATAAAGAAATGAAAACAAAAAACGAGGCTAAGACTGAGGCTAGGGGGCAGTGGTGGCTCAGTGGTAGAATTCTTTCTTGCCTTCCATGCAGGAGACCCAAGTTTGATTCCTGGCCATTGGACCTCAGGCACCACCACCACCACCACCACCAGTTTGTTAGTGGATGTGCTTGTGTGCTTATATTACGCTAAACAGATTGCAGTGAAACTTCCAGACTGAGATGGACTAGGAAGAAAGGCCTGGCAAGCTACTTCTGAAAACCGTGTGTATCACAGAAGTCCAATCCACAGTGGATCATGGAGATAGCACAGGACCAGACAGTGTTTTGTTCCATTGTGAATGGGGTCACCATGAGTTGGGAGCCAACTTGACAACAGCTAACAATAGCAACAGGCTATCCTATACTGCCTCTTCTCTAATATCAGAAAACTATTTTTTCACATATTTTGCTTAGTTTTCTAATTTTTCAAGAGGATGAGCAAATCTAATCCATGTTGACCTAATATGGCTAGAAATGGAAGTTCCTCCTGTGTTTTTTATTAACTCAGGTTACATTTCTCCAGGTGCCCATCACTTGCATCAATTGTGAAACAATTCCCTTTATTAGGAGTGAAGAGCTATAGGTTAGTGAGCTCCCAGTAAGATGGACCTGGGGTCTCTGCTCCCAGGAATGGTGTTGGAGTAGCACTCATTATACCAGTTACCATACAGTCAGCCCCATGATACGGTGATCCCATGTATGTCAGAGTAGACCTTTACTCTAAAGGGTTTTCAGTGGCTGTGATCTTTTGGAAGCAGATACCAGACCTTTCTTCCAAAGCACTTCTGGGCAGATTCAAATCACCAAGATTTCCATTTGTTACCAAGCACTTAACTGTTTGCCATACCTAGGGATTCTGACACTCTAGAGGAATAGAATTTCATCTGACTTGCTCCCATATAAAAATCGTAACCAGCACGTCTATTTGATGAAATATGATCTACAGAACTACAGTTCTCATTTCCAATTCTGCAGGGAATTGAGAATAGCCTGTACAACCAGTACGAGGAGAAGGTGCGCCCCTGTATCGACCTTATCGACTCACTGCGGGCCCTGGGCTTGGAACAGGATCTGGCACTGCCTGCCATTGCTGTCATCGGAGACCAGAGCTCGGGCAAGAGCTCGGTGCTGGAGGCTCTGTCGGGTGTTGCTTTACCCAGGGGCAGCGGTGAGAAGTCACCCTTTCGTCTCATATTTCTGGAGGGGGTGAAGGTGTGACCTGCAGGTTGTGAAGGAGAACCTGGGTCCTCAGGCCAGAATCATGTGCATGTGGACATCTTCCCAGAACCCTTCTTGGAGTTTATCCTGCATCTTGGGGGACGAAGATTGGTGTCCAGGTTAGGGGTGTGTTATAGATGCAAGGCCAAAGATAGCAGTAAGAGTAGAGCCCTCATGAGGGTTCAAAGGAGAAGGTCATAGCTGAGGTGAACTTGACTGGGAAGATAGGGAGGACTTGGAAGAAGCTCTGAATATTGAGGACTTGTCCCTTATTCAAGAGATTGCTCAGTCCACAGATCTGACCAGTGTTAGGTGGCCTGGTTGGAATGGAGTGTGTATATTCAGGGCATGGTGGAGGATGTTTGCATAAGTTTGGGGATTTCCCATCACAATCTGTCACCTGAGCTGATGGCAGAACCTTTGAATGATATATTTGAAGTGGTGGCTTTGGATCATTCATGAATAAGAACTACTTGGACCCTGTATAGTCTCCTGTGGCTGCTACAACAAGGCACACAGGGGGCTTAAGACAACAGAAACTTCTTGTGTCACGGTTCTGGAGACTAGAAGTCCCAGATCAAGGTGCCTATGCTCCTTCTGAAGACTATAGAGGAGAATCCTTCCTTGCCTTTCTACCTGTTGGTGGCTACTAGCAGTCTTTGGAGTTCTTCGCTTGTAGATGAATCATCCCAACCTCTGCCTCCATCTTCACATGACCATCTCCTCTCTGTGTCTATATGTCTTTTCTTTTTTTATATAAAGACACCAGTCATTAGATTTATGATGTCTAGTATGACCTCATTTTAGCTAATTACATTAGTAAAGACCCCTTTCCCAAAAAGGTTGTATTTTTTTAACATTCCAAGTGAACATGCCTATAGGGAGAACACTATTCTACCCAGTACAGATGATTTTCCGAGATGCATATTCCTGAGGCCACCCCAGACATAATATATCTAGGTATCTGAGAGTCAGACTAGGAAGTTTGCATTTTAGCCATCTCTCCAGATGATTATATACAGGATTTTTAAGAGCAGAGTGTAAGAACTGATGTGGAAATGGCCTCCTAGGTATCGTTACAAGATGTCCGCTGGTGCTGAAACTGAAAAAACTTGTGCATGACGGTGAGTGGAGAGGGAAGGTCAGTTACCAGGACTTTGAGACCGACATTTCAGACCCTTTGGAAGTGGAAAAGGAAGTAAATAAAGGTAAGTAACTCTGTTTGTTCTTAATCATCATCATCATATTTGTCGTGCTCTGATGCTTGGTCCAATCTTGTCAGGTGGGTGGGCTCTACCTCTGGCTGCTGCACTTCTCCCCTTTCGGGGCTGTCCTGCTCCCCTAGAAGCCCATCCTACTTCTCTCCCTCTCTCTTCTCGTCAGACCCCCAGTTCCCTCGTACTTTTTCTTCTTTTACCCTCATAAAGATCAGTGCTTTTGGACCAAATCTGACATCAGTCATTTATTGCCTAGTGTGGGATTAAATATATGGGAATGATGTCAATTTTAATATGTGAAACTTGTTTTTAAATATGGAGGATGGTTCCTCATTTCAAGCCCAAATACGGACTTGCTATTCCACAAATCTGATGGAAGAGGAATTAAGGTTTGGGGATCAGGGAACCCCTACCCACTATCAACCTTGTGAAAAAAGCATCCTAGAGCCCAGAGCCCAGACTGGGTCATCACTAAACCCTATTCAGAATGGGTAGGCCTCTTTCTCTGGGGAGAAAGTATATGTTTATATAATCCTACCTTAGGCTCATTTAGGGTGGGTCTCAGTAAATGCAAATCACAAAGAAAGATCAGTTTGATCAACTTGAAACATCTGAAGGGGGACACAGCACTAGAGGAAGTATAGATAAGGTCAAAATGTTTAACAAAGAGCTGGAACTGTGAGTTGGTGGAGCCCAGGTTCCTTCTATCTTGGTACTCCATTCTGTGTAGTCTCCAGAGAAATTTACCTTCTTCCTTAATGATTTTAATTTTTTCCTAATGCGGCATCTGGCATCATTAAGTTTCAGTCATTTGGGGAAGGTATGAAAGTGGCATGAACAGGTAGCCAACAGCATGAAAGCATGACTTGGCTTCAATAAAGCAGGAAGCACAAATTAAAATGTGTTAACTGTTTTAGGAAAATTCAACAGTGTTATGTTGTTGTTGTTGTTATGTGCTGTCGAGTTGGACCCGACTCATAGCGACCCCTCATTGGGTTTCTGAAGCAGCATCACTATGGAAGTAGATTGTCAAACCTTCCATCTGAGGAGTGGCTGCAACAATGTTACAGACCAAATGAAATTTTGAGTTAGGGTTAGGCTGGCTGCCTGTGTTAGAAAATTCAGCATAACTGCGCATTGGTTAGCCTTTGCTGGATAACAAACCCATCTCAAAACCCAGTGGCTCAGCTTTTCAACCAAATCACAATAAAAATTAGAAACAAAACAAAACCTAATGGTTCAAAAACTCTCATTTCCCATGATTTGCTGAATGGGCTGGGAGTTCTTCTCATCTCATATGGGTTGGCTTGGCTAGAGCTGAGTGATCTAGGATCAACTTAGTCACATGTTGAAGGCCTCAGGTGGCATGACTAGGCCTTCTCTCCATGTGGCTTTTCACCCTCCAGGAGACTAAAAACCAGTCGACATGGAGTCAGCTCTAATTTGTGACCTCATGTGTGTCAGAGTAGAGCTGCCCTCCATAGTGATTTCAGTGGCTGATTTTCAGAAGTAGATTGCCAGGCCTTTCTTAGACACCTCTGGGTGAATACCAACATTCAGCCTTTCACCTGGTGGCAGAAGATTTCCCAGCAGCAGGAGAAGGCAAGCTCCAATGTTACAACACCTTTCAGATATCTGCTAGCTTTACGTTTTCTAATGCCCATTGGCCCAGGAAATTACATGATCAAAGCCAATTTCAAGGAGCAGAGGGAGAAATAGCCTCGCTCTCTATGGTGAAAGTAGCAAAGTCACATTGTAAAGGAGCATGCATTCAGGGATGCATACAAGGGATCATTGAGGTTATTTGTTCACGAGGACTGCGACAAAATGGTTTTAGTGATGGGCAAGTTGTGTTTCTCAAGTAGAAGCCCAGATAGAGCTGACCAGACCTGGTTTGCAGGTTCCACAGCGTCAAGAGCACAGGCTACTTCTATCTTGTTGCTCCACTGTGAGTGGCCTCTGTCCCCAAGGCCCCTCACAATTGGGTCAGTGAGTCTGCATTCCACCTACTGGACATTGGCAGAGCCTAATTCCTGCCCTTTAAGTACACTTTCTGAAAGTTGCACACAACATTTTCACAGGTACCCCTATTGACCAGAATTTGATCTCATGACCACATCTACCTGCAGAGAAGCCTGGGAAGTATAGCCTTTCATCTAAGTTGTTTCATGGCCAGTGACACATTGAAGATTTTATATGAGCTAGGGAAAGGGGTGAGTAGGTAATAGGGAGCAATAGCAGACTATGCCACATATAGTGTTGTAATTGTTTTCAATCTGAGCTCTGCGTAGTATAGAATATGCCAGAAAGGCATTCTGGGTGTAGAAAAGACTAGGAAGTTGGTATTAACTAACAATTTGGTAAAATAAATTCATATCCTAAATTTCTGTAGCTTTCATTATTAAGGAGCAAGAAGTGAAATGAAATTTCTTAAAGAAATATAGACATGCTCACCTTACCAAAAACAATCACTTTCCCTATATCCCCATGCACTGTCCAACTCATATTTTAGGAATCCCCATATGTTTCTATTTGTTTCAATTTTACTTCACTGAATTTACTTGTGCCATCAATATGTGTGTGTGTGTGGGGTGGATAGTTATAATTAACACCAAGAGGAACTTCACAACTCAGCTCACTTTTGGGCTGGAATGAGTTGGTGATTTCCATGAAGATGGTTCTAATAGGTTGCTCTAGGGACAGTTCTGGCCTCTGGCAGAAAAGTACCAGGTTATCCATAGAAGTCCCTTGTAGCTCCAGTAACAGGAAAGGGAATCTGCTGCATGTGTGCCTTTATCCATGAATCACTGTGAGTGGAAAGGTTTTTAGAGCATTTCCTGAGGTGAAACACTTCCTTCTGAGCTATGTTCAGTTTTTCCTTTTTCTTCTTCTCTAGCCCAGAACGCTATTGCTGGGGTAGGAATGGGGATCAGTCACGAGCTCATTAATCTGGAGATCAGCTCCCCAAACGTCCCGGATCTGACCTTGATTGACCTTCCTGGTATAACCAGGGTGGCTGTGGGCAATCAGCCAGCTGACATTGGACGACAGGTGAGACTTCAGATTCCATCTGGCCTTGGACTTAGAGGACAGAGATTGGGCAGAATTCTGCATTACAAAAACAGTGAGTTCAGGACTGAGTATTGAAGAATGGGTATTTGGAGGCATGGGTAGGGGATTGAGTTGAGTCTGCTGGATGCTTCTTTGGAGACAATGAGGCTGATTGGGACAATGGGAAATAGGTATTATAGTGTATTTGTGTCTTCCAAATTTCCAGTCATTTTTGGTCATAGTTATATTTCATGACATACTTAAACTGGTGGCTATTAGGAAGGAACTCTGTGTGGGACAAGAGAGCACTAGAAATAGGCAGAATGATATTTAAGTATGACTGAATTTCACTCTGGATGAAGAGTTGGGAAATGAGTCAATCCAATTTTTTTTTTTTTTTTTTTTTTTGCCATCAAGTTTGAGGTCTTAGGAGATAGTTAATCACCTGAATCCTTGTATTAGGATTCCTCAGAGAAATGGAGAACAGAAATAGGGTGTGTGTATATGTGTATGCTTGTGTGTGTGTGCACACACACAGACATAGATTGATTTGAATTAATTGGCTCTTGTGATGGTAAACCACAAAAACCAAACTCACTGTCATTGAGTCCTTTCTGACTTAGAGCAACCCCGATTGGGTTTCTGAGGTGGTAAATCTTTACAGAAATAGATTGCCTTGTCTTCCTTATGGAGGGACTGGTGGGTTTGAATTTCCAACCTTCTAGTTGTCAAATGCCTTAGGCACTGTGCCACCAGATCACTCCATCTTCCTTCTGTGGAGTGGCTGGTGGGTTTGAACCACTGACCTTCTGGATAGCAGCCAAATGCTTTATCCACTATGCCACCAGAGCTCCTTGCTTATGATAGTAGGGGCTGGCAAATCCAAAATCTGTGGGTTGGGCAATAGGCTGAAAGTTCTAACAGGATGTCTTTGTTCCAAACTTGAACCAGAATTACTTTTCCTCTGAGAAACCTCAGGTTTTACTCTTCAGATCATCAGTTTGGATAAGGTGCAATCACATTTTGTTGGTAATTTTTTTTATGACTTGTTCAATTTCTTCTTTTGTCATGGGTCTGTTCAAGTTTTCCACCTCAGTCTGTGTTAGTTTATGTTAGTAGTATGTTTCTAGAAATCTGTCCATTTCATCTAGATTTTCCAATTTGTTGGCATTTTCGTTCTTCCTAGTATCCTGATATTATCCTTTTAATTTCTGTTGGTTCTGTTGTGATGTCACGTAAGTCATTTGCAATCACGTTTTGGAGGATAATATTCTTTACTTAGAGAAAAATGACTGTAGATTTTTAACCTCATCTACAAATTACTTTCACAGCAATACCCAGACAAGTGTTTGACCAAACAATTGGGTGCCATAGCCTAACCAAATTGACTCATAAAAAGTAACCACCACAAACCTGATGATTTTCCTTGACTCTACTGCTAAGTTTCTGCCTCAGAGAATTTAATTTCTCATAACGCTGGCTAGGAACATATCACCAGGTCATGTTTGTGGGTTATTTTCTCCATGTTACTTCTTTTGAGGATACATTGGGACTGTGGGACCTGAGGCAAATGTAGGGTCAAGACCTATCTCAGTGCCCATTCCCCTTTACAATGCTCATGCATCATATCCTCACATTTTCTTACAGATCAAAATGCTCATTAAAAAGTACATCCAGAAGCAGGAGACAATCAACTTGGTTGTAGTGCCCAGTAATGTAGACATTGCAACCACGGAGGCACTCAGCATGGCCCAGGAGGTGGACCCTGATGGAGACAGGACCATAGGTATGAACAGGAGAGAACTAAAGATCATGGGTGGTTTTACAGTGGGTTAGTATCTCCCGAATCCAAACGGTTATTTCTTGGCACATACTTGGAGTGATAGACCTGCATCCAGCACATGAGAATTGCAAAGGTGGCAGGTTTGCTGCCCATCTAGGCTGTTTAGCTGGGCTTGATTAAATACCACAACTTTACTCATAACCCTTGTATTAGTGTCTTAAAGCTGCTATAACAAAATAACACAAACTGAGTGGCTTATAAGAACAGAAATTGATGGTTCACAATATTGTTGGCTAGAAGTCCAGATAGACGTGTCATTTGGACCATGCTCCTCACTGCTGCTGAGTTGGATCCAACTCATAGCGACCCTTCCTTGGGTTTCTGAGGCAGTATCACTACGGAAGTAGATTGCCTAACCTTCCTTCTGAGGAGTGGCTGGTGGGTTTGAACCACCAACCTTCTGGTTAGGAGTCAAATGCCTTAGGCACTATGCTACCAGAGCTCCCCTGAAGCCTCTAGGGGAAGATAATTTCTTATCTCTCTCAGCTTTTGGTAGCTCCAGGTGTTCCTTGACAGTAGATACATCCTCATATAGCTGTCATTTCTCTCTGTGTTTATCTTTTCTATTTTTTAAGACTATACTCAGATAGAATTAGTACTTACCCTACTTGAGTGTGTGTGACTTCATGTTAACTTACTTGATAACATTTGTGAAGATCCTATTTCCAAACAAGGTCATATTCACATATACTGTGATTTAGGAAACACATCTTTTTTAGGATACACCATTCAATCTATAACAACCTTATTGACCTACTTACAAAAGGCATGGTGGGGTCCAGGGGACAAAGAAAAATCATAAGGTAAATTGTGTCAGTTAAGAATGCGTTTGGCTGCAAGTAATAGAGAACCTGACTCCAGTGGAACCTGACTCCATTAAACAAATGGCAATTTATTTTCAAAAGAAGTTTAGGTAGAGGTTTCTGTACAGCTGTTTAGTGATGTTATCAGACCTGTCTCATTTCATCTTGCTTGTCCCTGCTGCTGTCCATTCCCAGGATAGAGTCTCAGCTCCAGGGAAGCAAGGACCTGTGGACATAGTAAACCCCATGGTTAGGTCTGGGGCACTTTCATGGTCTTGCTACCCTTGTAGTTCCACAGGGTACCATGCTTGTGTAATGCATGCTGTTACCATCTTGAAATTCTTAATATTTTTACAAAGGGGCCCACACTTCCATTTTGCACTGGGCCCCACATTTATGTCACAGGTCCAGTCTGCATCTGTATTTCTCAAAGTGTGGGTAGGCACTGCCTGCATCAGAAATAACTGGAGAAATTTTAGGAATGCCAGTCCCTGAATCCTACTCTGCTTCATCAATCAGAATCTCTGGGGCAGGAAATGAGACTGCATTCTATCACTAACTTTTGGAATGACTGCTGCATGAGAGAGTTTGGGAACCATTGCATTAGGGAGTGAATGCTTCCATTTACTAGAAGCAAAGTGAAAAAAGGTCATTATAAGCTGCTGTCTCTTTTGCATGGGGCCCAAGACTAGGTGAAGTTAGCCTTGAGAGGAACCCCCATAGCTTGCTCACAGAGGGGGAACTACACAGGAGTTCCACCTTGCACCTCAATTCTGGAAGGGCTCTTGTTTGCCTTCAAGCAAGGAGGCTGATGGCCAGAAAAGCAAGCTGTGGTCCACTTCATGACTGACCTACCCCTTCTCTAACTGACAATCTCTGGCTCACAGGCATCTTGACTAAGCCTGACCTGGTGGACAAAGGCACAGAAGACAAGGTGGTGGATGTGGTGCGCAACCTCATCTGCCACCTGAAGAAGGGCTACATGATTGTCAAGTGCCGAGGCCAGCAGGACATCCAGGACAGGCTGAGCCTGGCTGAAGCTCTGCAGAGAGAGCAGGACTTCTTTGAGGACCATGACCATTTTAGGTATGTACTGCAGTGGGTTAGCAAGGGAACACTCGGGACATTGCCACTATGGAAAAGTTGACATGTGAAGTTTGTGTGTTTGTGACTCCTTGACAATGATTGTGGAACTTGCCTGGAAGAATAAAAGGAGAATTAGCAAAGGACTGCATAGATAGCTAGAGTAGATTGACAAATATCCATTCATCCATAGGATAAGAATTTCATCACCAATGAATAAGGCCACAATCAGTAGAGCAGTGGGTACTCTGCTGTGGAAAAGGAATAAAAACATAAACAAAATAAAATTAAAACATCAGAAAGCCCCTAAACGGATCCCAATATATATATTTACTATATGAGAAATAAGGTTTTCAAATCTGGGTTATGTCACTTTGATTATTCCATCAATGGTATTGGGATAATTGTTTAATATTTGGAAAACCATAAAGTGTGCCCTTACTTAGCATTTTATCTTACACTTTATACCAAAAGACTTAACAGTTGGATTTTTAAATTAAATACAAAAAAGAAGCCATAAGACCCCCAGAAGAAATGTAATGGGTAGTTTATAATCTTGTAATCCTAGGGTACGGGTGACCCTTCTAACTCAAATGCCTAATGTGAAATATTTTAAAAAGGAAAGGCTGGTAAAATGGGTTGAATTTAAAATAATGAGAAGATGTGGAGTTGTTGAGCGGGCAGTGTGGGATGGGTTTTCATACAGGCTGATGGGATCAGATGTGGCAGGCATAGCCTTTTGAACAGTGGCTTGGGAACATACCAACTGTCCTAGAAACAGTGCCTCTCCGTGGTTTAGAGCTCCACTTCCAGGAATTACCCTGGAGGGTAATCCAGAGATGTGTGCACCAGTGTCTGCTAGAGGATGCTCAGCAAAGGGTTGTTTACAGTCGTGAAAAAATTGGAAGTACCCTAAATGTCAAAAATCAGATTGTATGGTCCTCATGGTGTTTGCATCCATTAAAAGCTGTAGTAGAAACTATTTATTGGCAGGAAAAGGTGGTAATGATAGGATAAGAGAAATGCAACATGCTCACTGTGGGTGGGTGCTCATGCAGTGGAAGCAGTGTTACAGTTAGTCCTCCCAGAAGCCTGCAGGGAGGTGTGATTCATAGTGGACAAGGGTGCAACCTGAGGTTAAGGTGTGAGTGTACTCTGAAAAATAGGCATGTAAACTCATGCTTCTCTGCTGCCTTTATCCCAAAAGTCCTTTACAACGTATTAGTTGTTGTTAGCTGCTGTAGAGTTGGCCCCTGAGTCATAGAGGCCCCTTATACACAGCAACAGATGGTTGTGATCCTTAAGAGTTTTCACTGGCTAATTTTTGGAAGTAGATAGCCAGACCTTTCTTCCTAGTCCATCTTAGTCTGGAAGCTTTGCTGAAACCTGGTCAGAATCATAGCAACACTCAGGCTTCCGCTAACAAATATGGTGGCTGTGCATGGGGTGCAATGGCCAGGACTCAAACCTGGGTCTCTCATATGGAAGGTAAGAACTCTACCACTCAACCACTAGTGTCCTCTTTTATGACTGTAATAACTCACCCTGTGAACACAAATTTCTATACACAGAGAAGAGGCCCTATACCCAGATTCCTGCAAACTTTATATCTTCTAACTATTTAAAATATACATCTCCTAACTATTTAAAATATAACTAATTCTATCGGTCTTTTCCTTTTTAAAAAATTTTAGTTTGGCTTCTGTCTTATAAGCAGTCCATGGTTTAACTTGTCGTGAAGGAAGATGTGTCATCCCCAGTGCAGTATTTATGCACACCCTTATGTATATATGCATAAATGTCTGTTCATGAAGACTCATACCTATATGAGTTATTTAGACTTATACATGTATTACACATATAGTGGTGTATGTGTAATGATAAAAACATTGATAGGTGTGTATATGTATTTTTATAATGATCTATTCTATGAGTCGGGGCCGACTCAACAGCAAACAACAACAACAACAACAAATTCTATAGTCTGGAGTCCTTGAGTGGCAAAAACAGTTAAGCATTTGCCTAGTAACCAAAAGGGTGGCAATTTGAGTCTGCCCAGCAGTGCCCTGGAAGTAAAGCCTGGTAATCTACTTCTGAAAGATCACAACCATTAAAAGCTCTGTGGGGCATAGTACTGGTCTAACACACAAATGGGGTTGTCAAGGGGGAGAATCAACTTGATGGTAACTGGTTTGTTTTTTTTTTTCCAATTTTATAGTCAGATGTCTGGAGAGGCACATTTACCATAAGGGATCAATCTATAGCATTGTTCTAATATTCACGATCATTAAAGTCCAGTTATTCTCTATAATCCAATTTTGAATGTTCGTTGAGTCTCAATTGCAAGGGATTTTGTTTAGTTGGACATAACTGGATATGCCCGGGATTTCCCCAATATCAGAATGATCATTTGCATTTTATGACTGGGTCAGGATGGAAGTCCATGCTGTGGTCTCTTTCAGGGTTCTTCTGGAGGAAGGAAAGGCCACTATTCCATGCCTGGCAGAGAGACTCAGCACTGAACTCATCGCACACATCTGCGTAAGCACATGCGGTAGTGTCTATTTTCTGAAAGAATCCTACAAACATGCTACTGACCCATATGGGCTTCTTCTACTTGAGTGTGCTCATGGATCACCTGGGGTCTTGTTGAAATGCAGACTGAGACTCTGACTCAGTGAGTCTGGGGCAAGCCTGAGAGTGTACATTTCCCACTAGTTCCCAAGTGATGCTGTACTGCCTGGACCACACTTTGCGTGGGAAAGTGACAGACAATATCCATGTGGCCCAAATGGCAGTCTCATCTAAACAAATGCCCTAAAGTCACAACCAGCTTCCTTACTGCCTTCCTCTTATAACTTCGGTCCCACTGCCACCTCGCTTTGGCCTCTCTTCCTGTCCCTTATCAACCTGCCAGCTGACTGTGCTCTTTTAAACCTTAACCACCAACTTCAGGTGTCTGTAATGGGAGGGCCGGCCAGCATATCTGACCAGCCATGTTGTCACCAACAGAAATCCCTGATAACTTTTTTTTTTAATCTGTTTAAAACAACATAAATGTTGTTGAATCTCATTATTCCTAGACACTTTCTAACAACCCCCTAAATCTCCCCACAGAGAGTTTATGTATAACAGTCACAGATGCCTTGAGAATATTATGCTGACTGAAAAAAAAAAAAGTCAGATACAAAAGGTCACATATTATATAATTTTATTTAAATGGAATACACAGAATAGATTAATTAATAGTTATAGAATCTAGATAGGTAGTTGCCAGGGACTAGGGGAGGGGAGGCAGTGACTGCTTAATGGATACAGGGTTTCCTTTTAGTGTGTGGAAATATTTTGGAACTAGATAGAGGTGGTGATTACCCCTTGTACTGTACTAAATGGTACTACTAAATTGTTCACTTTAAAATGGTGGATTTCATGAGATGTTAATTTCTCCTTCATTTTTTTTTAAAAAAACATCCCAGATAGAGGTGTTCCTTGGTGGGCTCGCACAGGGCCTGGGAACCATGAATAGTGGGCACCTCAGCTCAAGGTTGTTCCCGCAGAGTGGGAATGTGGGAGACCTGGATGAAAACCAGTGGCCTGAGTAATCCCTTTATCTGTCTGGAACATCTTTTAGAAGAGACTAAGAAGTCAAATCTACCATCATCAGCTGCTCTGCATCTTGCAAAAGGAGTCCCAAGATCACCTTTTAGTTTCTGATAAGATTATCTATTTCCATTATTTTCTCTCTGCTTTCTGCAGAAATCTCTGCCCTTGTTAGAAAATCAAATAAAGGAGAGTCACCAGAAAATAACCGCAGAGTTACAAAAGTATGGTGTCGACATCCCAGAGGATGAAAATGAGAAAATGTTCTTTCTGATAGACGTGAGTAGTGCCAACTGCATCAGGTGGAGAACCCTAGACCATTGTCCAAGAAAGGGACCATGAGCTCAGGCACTGCTTCCCTGACCCTCAGCTGATCCACATACCTTCTGCCCACTTCTTAAGGAATTAAGGGAGGAGACTGGACCATGGGTAGGGAGGGAGGGCAGAGGGTCTGGAGTCAGTGATGAGGATGTGTCTGTTATGTAATGGTCATGTTCATGGCATTAACCCTGTATTGTCAGCACCTGAGACCCACAGGTAGTAAGGGGAGGGCGGGAGGGTCTGGTGCCAATACCTCTGCTTTTCTGTGATCCCACAGTAACCCACCCTTGACACTCACATGCCACCATACCTCCAGGATGCTTGTATTTTGACTGTCACAGCTTATGCTGACTTTGTTTTTGTTGACAGAAAATCAATGCATTTATTCAGGATATCCTTGCTTTAGTGCAAGGAGAAGAGTCAGTAGGGAAGGATGAGTGCCGGCTGTTCACTAAAATCCGACATGAGTTCTCTAGATGGAATTCTGCCATTGAAGAGAGTTTTCAGAAAGGTGAGTCTGAGGTTCTGTCATGAATCTGGGGTGCTGGATTGAAACTGAGGTGTTAGAGGGTGGTGATGCAGTTGATGTGGATGCTGGAGTGAGCAACAATGAGGTGGTGCCCATCAGAAGCTGTATTCCACATCTCTGAGCTCCAGCCAACAAACATGTTACCGATTTCAGGGACACCTAGACAGGGAATGTGAATGAATCAGCTCAAATTAATCCCAGCTCCTAGAAACATCAGCCCTCCCTCAAAGGAGTATTGATGTCACACGTGCACAATAGTCATTGTGTGACAAATGGCACACCACTGGAATAACCCAGACCCAATCTCGGGCAATGGCCAAGGTCTTGAAGCCTCACGTGTCTCTGATTGGGTTTTTTAGAACGATAATAAAAAGAAGATAAAAATCACATGATAGGTACCATCCTTGCATCTTTGAGTTCTCAAGAATCTGTAAAAGGTAGACAACATGACCTGAAAACTATGTTTCAGTATTTCAAGAAGCCCAAAGGAGATCCAAATTTCTATGACAAATTATGGATAACACTGAGAAGAATGGGAATTCCCGAACACTTGATTTTACTCATGAGGAATCTGTACCTTGACCAGGAGGCTGTCATTCGAACAGAACAAGGGGACACTACATGGTTTAAAATCAAGAAGGGAGTGCGTCAGGGTTGTATTCTGTCTCCACACTTATTCAATCTAGAGAAGCTGGACTATATGAAGAAAAACGTGGTATCAGGATTGGAGGAAGAATCATTAACAACCTGAGATATGACGATACAACTTTGCTTGCTGAAAGTGAGGATGACTTAAGGCACCTACTGATGAAGGTTGAAGAATACAGTCTGCAGTATGGATTACGTCTCAATATAAAGAAAACAAAAATCCCCACAACTGGACCAATTAGCAGCATCACAATAAATGGAGAGAAGATTGAGGTTGTCAAAGAATTCATGTTGCTTGGTTCTACAATCGATGCCAACGGAAGCAGCAGTCAGGACATTAGATGACATGGAAAGTCAACCACAAAGGAATTGTTTCAAGTGCTGAGGAGCAAGGATACCTCCTTGAGGACTAAGGTGCGCCTGACACAAGCCATGATATTTCCAATCGCCTCATATGCATGTGAGAGCTGGACAATGAATAAGGAAGACCGAAGAATAATTGATGCTTTTGAGTTGTGGTGCTGGCGAAGAATGCTGAAAGTACTGTGGACTGCTAAAAGAACTAACAGATCTGTCCTGGAGGAAGTGCAGCCAGAATGCTCCTTGGAAGCAAGAATGGCCAGACTTCATCTCACCTATTTTGGTCATGTTGTCAGAAGGGACCATTCCCTGGAGAAGGATGTCATGCTTGGTAGGGTGGAGGGTGGACAAAAGAGGGGGAGGCCTTCAACGAGATGGATTGACATGGTGGCTGCAATGATGGGCTCAAGTATAGCAGGGATTGTGGGGCTGGCGCGGGATTGGGCAGTGTTTCGTTTTGCTGTGCATGGGGTCGCTATGAGTCGGAAATGACTCAATGGCACTTAACAACAACAAAAGGAAATCACCTGTGGCTCAGTGGTAGAATTTTCACCTTCCTTGTGGGAGACCTGGGTTCAGTTCCTGCCCAGTGCACCTCTTGCAGAGCCACCTCCTGTTTGTCAGTGAAGCTTGTGTGTTGTGATGCTGAACAGGTTTCAGCAGAGCTTCCATTACTAAGATAGACTAGGAAGAAAGGGAGTTCCAGTAGCGAAGTGCCTAAGGCACTTGACTGCTAACCAGAAGGCTGGCCGTTCAAACCCACCAGCCACTCCTCAGAAGGAAGGTTGGGCAATCTACTTCCATAGTGATACTGCCTCGGAAACCCAGGGAGGGGTTGCTATGAGTCAGGTCCTACTTTATGGCAAATAACAACAACAACAGGAAGAAAGACCTGGTGATCTACTGAAAATCACCCAATGAAAACCTTTTGGATCACGATGCTCCGATCCACAACTGGTTGTGGGGATGGTTTAAGACTGGGCAGCATTTTATTCTGTTGTGCATGGGGTTTCCATGAGTTGGGGGCCAACTCAAAGGCAGCTGACAACAAAGGACATCATAAATTGACCTATGGTAAAGCCACAGGGTAAAGGAAACTTCAAGTAGCTTTGCTTTTTTATTCAGTCAACTTGAGGCAGGACTTCAATTGATTTCAGCTGACAAAAAGTTCAAATTAGCCATTCTCCATAGCTTTGAATAATAAATAAAGGGAATAAATTTTGTGTGTGTTTTTTTTAATTGTTGTTAGGCCACATCTTTGAATCCATTTGTTCCTTGGCAGAGAGCACTGAGTTTGGGATGGGAAAAAGACCAGAGCTCCATGGTAGAGGAATGTTTGGGGAAGCTCTTTGCTCATTTCTGGGGCAGCCACATGACACATCTACATTATTCTCATGCCACTGCTAAGTCTAAAGAGCAGAGCATGGGGTTCTCCCCATAATGTGTCTGTCTAGGAAGTACCACTCTGCCCTCTCAAAGAAGACAGTGGTCCTTACCTTTCAGCAATTCCCTCATGATTGCTCAGCCAGCTCAATATCATAAGATAAGAATTCATTGCAAGCAGCCTAAGACAAAAGCCAGTTGAACAATGGGCACAGCTTTGGAATGGACATTTATACAAAGAGGATATACAAGTAGGAATCATGTGAAAAGATACGCAACATCTTTGGTCATTAAACCCAAAATCCCACTGCTATTGAATCGATTCCAACTGATGTTGTTGTTGTTATGCGCCGTCGAGTTGGACCCGACTCATAGTGACCCCTCCTTGGGTTTCCAAGGCAGTATCGCTACAGAAGTAGATTGCCCAACCTTCCTTCTGAGGAGTGGCTGGTGGGTTTGAACCACCAGCCTTCTGGTTAGCAGTAAAGTACCTTAGGCATTATGCTACCAGAGCTCCCTTCCAACTCATGGCAACTGTATAAGACAGAGTAGAATTGCCCCATAGGGTTTCCAAGGCTGTAAATCTTTATGGAAGCAGATTGATTGCCTTATTGTTGTTTTTGTTGTTGTTGTTATTTGGTTTTTTTTTTTTAATCGCACAGAGTAGCTGGTGGGTTTGAACTGCAGACCCTTTGATTAGCAGCCAAATGCATTACCACTACACCATCTAAGGTCCATCATTAATCGTTGTTGTTGTTGTTGTTGTTATGTGCCGTCGAGTTCATAGCGACCCCTCCTTGGGTTTCCGAGGCAGTATCACTACCCATCTTCCTTCCGAGGAGTGGCTGGTGGGTTTGAACCGCCAGCCTACTGGTTAGCAGTCAAGTGCCTTAGGTACTGTGCTACCAGAGCTCCTCATTAATCATTTTGTTGTTGTTGTTGTTATGTGCCATCGAATCGGCCCCAACTCATAGCGACCTCTCCTTGGGTTTCCGAGGCAGTATCACTATGGAAGTAGGATTGCCCAACCTTCCTTCCGAGGAGTGGCTGGTGGGTTTGAACCGCCAGCCTTCTGGTTAGCAGTCAAGTGCTTTAGCCACTATGCTACCAGAGCTCCCTCATTAATCATTTAATCATTAGGGAAATGCATATCAAGACCTACAATAAAACGCCCTTTCACAATAAAATGCCCTTTCACAATAAAACGCCCTAGGATGGCCACAATTAAAATGTTAGCTATTAACAAGTGTTGATGTCAAAAAAAAAAAAAAAGTATTGATGTAGATGTGGGGAAATTGTAAACCTCCTACACTGCTAGAGGGAATGTAAAATGGTACAGTCACTTTAGAAAACAGTATGTCAGTTCCTAAAATGGTTTAACACATTCCTCCAGGCCCCTGGGAGAGCCCTGATAAGGGTCTTTCTCCAAGAGTCTAGTTTGTTGGCTTAAAATAATTACAAAAGTAAAAGATGAAAAATAAGAGTTTTATACAGTTAGCAGTGACACCTTGTTATATCAACATTTCAAGTCCTGTATAAATGCTTTCTACTGATGCTTCAGCACATGAATCTGTGATTGGGAGTCGATCTGGTGTGGTGCCATGGTCATTTCTATTTAAAGGGCCCACAGCCCTGGCTAAGGAATATTCTACCACAGTCTTCATTCACAGATTCCATATTTGCCAAACCACATATTGGCTAAAAGTACTCTGGAATCTTTCACAGACAGATTTGCACATGTCAGACAGGTGAGAATTTCTCAGCATAAATCAAAGAAGGCTGGTTCTTTATTTGCTAATTCAGCATTTGCGAGACTATAGACTCTAACCCCTGGGTGGTGCAAACATTTTGCATTTAGCTACTGAACTAAAGGCTGGTGGTTTAAACCCACCCAGTGGTACCATGGATGAATAGCCTGGCCCTCTGGTTTTTTGAAGATTATAACTGAGAAAACCCTATGGGGGCAGTTCTGCTCTGTAACACATGAGTTGGAATTAACTCAATGGCAATGGATTTTGTTTTCTTTTTTTTTTTTTTTTAAATAAACTGTAACTCCCTTGAATGTTGTTGTTGTTATGTGCCATCCAGTCAGACCCTACTCATAGCGACCCCTCCTTGGGTTTCCAATATCACTGTGGAAGTAGATTGCCCAGTCTTCCTTCTGAGGAGTGGCTGGTGGGTTTGCACCACCAGCCTTCTGGTTAGCAGTCAAGTGCCTTAAGCACTACACTACCAGAACTCCCATGAATAGTGAAATAAAATCAAACTTTATTTACAGAATTTTATCCTCAATTACCTTTTCAGGACTATGTCTTCTGCTTAGTGTCTGCGTGTACTGCACTCAGCATCATGCCCTAGCTTTACCTTTGCTTCCTTGAGATTATATGGGACATTTATCTTGACCTGTTTTATTATTGCAACCTCACAGTATTTTTTTTATTTGTAACCCACCAATTTCTCTTGCCACTCTACCCTTTCAGAAAATCCAGCAATCCGGAAGATGAATTCTGTAAGACATTCAGAGTGATTCTTTTCAATTGTAGGTTATGAAACTATGTGTCAGGAAATCTGGAAGTTTGAAAATCAGTATCGTGGCAGAGAGCTGCCTGGCTTTGTGAATTATCGGACATTTGAGACCATTATAAAACAGCAAATGAGAGAACTGGAAGAACCTGCTGTGGATATGCTTCACACAGTGACTGGTGAGTTCTTGGTTTCACTTTCAGGCATTTTATTTGGGGCAGAGAAAAGGTTGAGCCAAAGTCAGTGTCAAACTTCAGAGCTCTCCTCCCCCTTTCCTCGCTGTCATGGTTATCTCTCACTCTCCAAATACTCAGTTTATTTTGGAATTGCTTAGAATAAGGACAAAAACTAATTAACAGAATGTTCTGGAAGAGTTTAGAACATTCTAAAGTGCCATATGAGTCTATTGTTGTTACATGTAGGTAACAGACTGGTGAGTCTCTGGGTGGTACATGTGGTTAAAATGCTGTGCTACGAACCAAAAGGTTGGAGACTCAAGTCCACCCAGAGGTGCCTTGGAAGAAAGGCCTAGAGATCTACTTCTGAAAAAACAGCCACTGAAAACCTTATGGAGCACAATTCTATTCTGACACACATGGGGTTGCCATGAGCAGGGTCTACTCCACCTTAACTGATTTTTTTTTTTTTAACAGAGTAATATACTGTAGTTAGGATCTCTTGTGGTGTAGTGGGTAAAGCGTTTGGCTGCTAACCAGAATGTACAGTTGTTCATCTGCTACTCCACAGGAGGAAGATGGGGCAATTTACTTCTGTAAAGATTTACAGCCTTGGAAACCAAGTGGGGGTCACTATGAATCGGAATTGACTCTATGGAAGTGGGTTTGGTTTTTGGTTTTTGGAATGCTGTAGCAACAGCCTATTGAGAAATACAACATTTGGTATCACTGAGCACTTCCTTCATTTTGAAATGCTTTGCTCACTTGGTTTACAAGATATTACTGAATATCTTTTCTTCATCCTCTCCTTGGCTGAGGTATTCTCATTTAGACTAATGTCCTTCTCATTTTAGCAATGAGTAAAAATTATTTATGGCTCCATAAATTTGTTGGCCACCGTCTAATTGGCCCCCAACTCACAGTGATCCTGTGGAGAATAGAATGAAACACTGCCCAGCCCTTGGCCATCCCCATGATTGGTTGTTGATGAGACTGTTGTGACTCATAGGGTTTTCATTGGCTGATAATCACAAGTAGATCACCAGGTCTTTCTTCCTGGTCTGTCTTAGTCTGGAAGCTTCACTGGAACCTCTTCAGCATCATAACAACTGCAAGCCCTCATCCATGAAGTAATGGAGAAAAAGCAGTCCCATTCAGCTCATTAAGAAAATATTCTCCTTGACAAAATCTAACCTTTTAGACTTAATAATTTATACCAGAACCTGTAATTGTATTGTTTTGATTAATTATGTACTCCTAATTCATTCCAAAAGGAAATCTGTGACATTTAGAGCCATAATGGCATAGAAAAAATATTTTTTTAATTAACATACTATATATTCATTCCTCTGTTTTAGAAAGAGGTGATATGGGGATCAATAAAAGATTGCCAAGCATAAAAATACTGTACATTATATTAGGGTGAAACTCTGTGAGGAAGTGGAATGGAAATGATCTATTCGCATCTGTTTCCATTGCCAGCTGTTAGAAATCATTCTGCAATTTAAAGCTAATTACCATAGGCACTATTTTTAATAGATCTCCTCTGCATTATGAGTAACTTCTGTATCCATGGCTAGAGCTCATAACAGAAGCAACATAACAGTATCTTATATATAGTACAGACATATGTGCTTTGTGAGCATTCAGGGAAGTGTACATACTAGGAAGGCAGGAAACTCTGGTTCTTACCATTTTATCCTCTTATTTTTTTTTCATCTATGGGAGCTCTGGTGGAGTAGTGCCTAAAGCATTTGACTGCTAACCAGAAGGCTGGCAGTTCAAACCCACCAGCCACTTCTTGGAAGGAAGCTTGGGCAATCTACTTCCGTAGAGATACTGCCTTGGAAACCCAAGGAGGGGTCTCTGTAAGTCAGAACCGACCTGATGGCAGTGAGTTTGGTTTTTGGTTTTTTTTGATGAAGATTACAAATGATTCTACCAACATTGAACTTCCTGTCTTTCTTTGATCAGATATGGTCCGGACTGCCTTCACTAATGCTTCAGAAAAAAATTTTGATGAATTTTTTAATCTGCACAGAGTAGCCAAGGTAACTCACTGCATACTGTTTAAAGAAATAAATAACTCTAATTCTAGAAAACAGATTTCTTGTATTAAGACTATTTCAACTGCATCTCCCCATTATGTATTTGGAGAAGAAAATAGTCAAACTCACCCAGGAATCTAACTAGTGATGTTACAAGTTAACTGGTAATAGTTAAGTGTCAGTTAATGAAATAACAGTTAACCAGTTACAAACAGTAAGAGAGAGAGAATTTAGAAATAAAATGTTTAATGGAATAAAGGAGGGCCATAGTGAATGTTGAAGATGATCACATCTGGAGAAAATTTCCCCAAATCCAGGAACCTATGGAGGAAACCAGATATAAAAATGGCATCCTTCAAGGGCCAAGAATGGGGGCAAAGAGGCCATGAAGCCCTCACCTGGGAGACAGGAGTGACCAAGAGAGCAGACTGTCCACCCCCCGAACACGGGCTCCCCAGCCCTGACTGGAAGATGGGTCCCCCATTCACCAGCTGGAGGTTTGGGCCATGCCCCTTAGCCTCCCTGTGCCTCTAGTACCTCATCCATAAAATGGGACTAATAGTACTTCCCCTTAGCTCTGGTGGGGCAGTACCTAAGACATTTGACTGGCAACCATAAGGTTCATGGTTCAAACCCACCAGCTGGTCCATAGAAGGAAGATGGGGCAGTCTACTTCCATAAAGATTTACCACCTTGGAAACCCAATGGGGGTCACTATGAGTCGGAATCGACTTGATGGCAGTGAGTTTCTAAGAGAAGGTGTTAATGGAGGAAAGAGGTGAGAGTGTCTGACACTGTGCCCTCAGTGAGGTCAGGAGGATCCACTTGTTCTCTGGGATGGCTCTCCCTATGGCTTTCTGGCAGCGCTTTCTCTAAATTCAGACACCATGAAACAGGCAGAATTTGACTGACTTACATTTATTTCACTCCTCCTGTTTCCTTGTGAGGAGCCCTGGTGGCACAGTGATTCAGGTGCTTGGCTGCTAACTAAAAGATTGGTGGTTCAAACCCCATAGCTTATCCTTGGTAGAAAGATATGGCAGTCTGCTTCCATAAAGAGAAACCATATAGGGCAGTCCTACTCTGTCCTTTAGGGTTGCTATGAGTTAGAATCAACTCAACTGCAGTGGGTATGGTTTGGGTAGATTATTCTGTGAGCCCTCCAGTGGCTAGAATACTCCTTATCACCAGATGTAGAAAACCTATAATAGTCAGAAAGAAGGACCTGCCTTATTGCACTGAGAACAGAGTCCATGCAGGTCCCCAGGCCCTGGAGGTGACTTAAGTTTTACGGGTGATTCTGACCCTCAGCCTGGGGGAAAGGGAACCCCTCTTGGACAAGTCGAAGTAGAGTATGGAGGGCTGTTCCAGAGTCATGTGTCATTTTCATATAGATCAGATAACCTGACATTTGCCAAATTTTACGATCTTCCATTGGTTTCTTGAGAAGATCTAGTTGTGTTTCTCTTTTCTATAGTCCAAACTTGAGGACATTAAACTAGAACAAGAGAAGGAAGCTGAGAAGACCATCCGACTGCACTTCCAGATGGAGCAGATTGTCTACTGCCAGGATGGAGTTTACAGGGGTGCACTGCAGAAGATCAGGGAGAAGGAAGCAGAGGAAGAGAAGACAAATAAAAAAGCAAACAGCCTATACTATCAACAGATTTCTTCATTGGACTCCTCCAAGGCAGAAATCTTTCAGCACCTGCTCGCTTACCAAAAGGTGAGTTTGTGAATGTCTCTTAGAACAGGGTCTTCATTTCATTCCTCTTCTCCAGAGTGCTTCTCTCATTAGTCTTACTATCTCTGTAAGGTGAACATCAGTCAGCTCTGTCTTTCAGTCCTTTGTAAGCTGTCATGCAAGCAATTCAACCTCAGATAGTTGTGGCTTATAGCCACTGGCATCTGGTTTTACTAGCTGTATGGTCCTGGCCAAGTTACTTAACCTTTCTAAACCTGAGCTTTCTTCTCTATAAAATGATATATCAGTTTCCTAGGACTGCTGTTGCAAAATACCACAAGTTGAATGGCTTATAAGAACATAAATGTATTGTATCACTGAGTTCAGAGTACTGGCAGATCCCGTGCTCCCTTGGACATCTCTAGAGAAAGATCCTTTCCTGTTTCTCTCAGCTTCTGAAAGCCCTGGTGTTCCTTAACTTGTGAATACACCGTTACATGGAGTCCTTCCTCTACCATCCCTCCACCTATTTCTGTGTCTTCTCCTTTATTATAAGCCATCACTCAGAATGGTATAGAACCCACCATACTCCAGCATGACTTGTTAATTGTTATTTCTTCAAAGACTCTATTTCCAAACAAGGTTGTATTCACAGGAAGGGTTGGAACTTCAGCATATCTTTCTTGAATCCCTAATAAATGGTATCTTTCTATAGGATGTTTGCGAGGATGCACTGTGACGAGCATAAGTGAATCTCTCAGGGCAGTGTTGGAACACAGTGGCAGCTCACCAAATGGAAGTGACTCTTATAGGCACCCTACTTTGGTTGCGGCAGTACATTTCAAATAATGTGCAGGTCATCTAATGCATCCCAGGGAGCAGGCAATGAATGCAGGCATCTCTCAATTAGAACCCATTGCTTCATATTTTAAGACGCTAGAAGTCCAACTTCAGGGTGCTGGCTGTAGGGGAAGGCTCCCTCTGTCCACTCAGGGAGAAGGGCTTTGCCTCTTTTTCTTGAAGTTCCTTGGCAATCTCCACATGGCATCTATCTTTCCTTTATTTTGCTTGCTTGCTTCTGTGCCTAATCTGCTCCATTCCTAGCTCCAAAGTGGTTTAGGTTTAAATCACACCTTACACCAATATGACCTTTAGCATAACAAAGAAAACCCTATTCTCAAATGAGATTACACCCACACATAAGGGGTTAGGATTTACAATATATTTTTTGGGGGAACAACATTCATAACAGGTGGTGAGGTGACTGGTACAGAATTTCTCCTAACCTCTCTGTGCACCATTCCTTCCTACAGGAGGCCAGCAACCGCATCTCCAACCACATCCCTCTGGTCATCCGGTTCTTCATCCTGCAGATGTACAGCCAGCAGCTGAAGAACAGCATGCTGCAGCTGCTACAGGACAAAGATACTTACAGCTGGCTCCTGAGGGAGCGCAGTGACACCAGTGACAAGAGGAGGTTCCTGAAGGAGCGGCTGGCGCGGCTGGCCCAGGCTAGGCGCCGCCTGGCCAAGTTCCCTGGTTAAAGCAGGCTCTCTGCTCAGGCCCGTGTCCCCAACCCACTGCACCAGGGAGTGCAGGCCCAACACCCTTCTGAAACAGATGTGCTGTTTTTATTTATCCACTGAAAGGTCTTTGAGTGCCTTGTCGTAGACTTTATATAGTCACTGCTCATTCATTAGCCCAGAAGGACTTGCAGAGATAAGCAGTTTGATTCAAGCATTAAGACCAGAGATTGCCCTTATGAAGTATATGCTCTAGACTGGATAAATGATCGAATTTTCCAGATTAGGAAAACTTACTTTCAACTTTCCGAATTGTTCCTCTTCTCTGACTCTCTGTCCCTTTATCAGAAGAAATGTATGCTTTACTCTTATCACCAGTACTTTTTCCTGTGAATAAATGGTTCTACCACCGCATTTCAATAGGTGCAAACACTGCAAAGACTCACTGTGGTCTGTTTATACATCCTCCTGATTTTTGACACTTACGGGTGTTTCTTATTTTTCACAATTATAAACAACACTATACTGAACATCCTGTAACATACTGCTGCACACATCTCTAACTGCTTTCTGATATGGAATTCCTGGAAGCAGAACTGTGAACCACAGGGGGGCATTACTTTCAGGCATGTAGCATGTTACCACAAGGAGTTCTGGTGGTGTAGTGGATAAGACATTTAGCTGCTAACCAAAAGGTCAGCAGTTCAAACCCACAAGCTGCTCTGTGGAAGGAAGATGGGGCAATCTACTTCTGTAAAGATTTACAGCCTTGGAAACCCAATGGGGTTTGCTATGACTTGGAATCAACTCAGTGGCAGTAAGTGGTTTGGTTCGGAGCGTGTTACCAAGCTACTGAACAAAAGGCTGGGCCAGCCACGCCTGCTCCCATCAGCCTGTGTGAAAACCCACTCTTCATGTCCCATCTTCTCATCATTTAAATCCAACCAATTTTATTATTATTTCCCTTTTTAAAATATTTCACCTCAGGCATTAGGGTTGGAAGGGTTTTCCCAGTCCAGGGTTAAGAGATTATAAACTGCCCATCATATTTTCTTCCAGCATGCTTGTGGGCTCTTTTTAAAAATTTACAAGTTCAGCTGATACTCATTTTTGTATAAACTGCAAGTTAAAGTACTAAATAAGGGGACTGTGGTAGTTATGTTTGTGTGTCAACTTGGCTGGGCCTGGTTGAGTGGCTGGGCAGCTGGTCGTAGTTATTCCCCGTGATGAGACTTGCAATCAACTCCATGGTGGGATCTACCACAGGCAGCTGAGTAGCTGCCTTTAGGATGTGGTCTGCTTCCTGTATATAAGTAGAGGCCTTGTGAATGGTCTCTAGCTTATGACACACTTGGACCCTGCATGTAGCTGTGTTGTTGTTCAGCAGCCTGCCATGCTATGCCAACCTTGGGACTTTCAATGGACTTGAATTAATGGCCTGCCGTGTGGTTTGGTAACATCGGGGCTGTGGCTTTTTACTTGTCAACCTTGGGTTTGTCAGCCTCACCGGCCAGCAGCTGTCTGAGTGAAGAAAAGCCTCTCGCTTCAGTGGGCTGGGAGCTGGAGGCAGAGCTGAATCCGAAGGCTGAGAGGCTTTCACCTAGCCCCTAGAGCCTGGCACTTTGAACTTGGACTTAAAACCTCCGAACTATGAGAGAATAAACTCCTGTTTGTTCTGGCCATCCCATTTGTGGTATATTCTTATCTGAGCAACACTAGGCAACTGGAACAGGGATAATTTAAATTTTTCTAAATATTAAACAATTATCCCCATACCATTCATTGAATAATCAAAGTGCCATAACCCATTGATTTAAAATGCTCCATTTATCATATTTGAACATGTTTCTGGGTTTTCTACTTTTTTTATTCAGCTCAATTTATGTTTTTTCTAATTTCAGCACCACACTGTCCTAGTGATTGTAGCCTTGTTCATTGGTCATGTAATTCCTGTCTGTCCATCCATCTGTCCCGTTCCATTCACCTATGCAATCCTTTCTTAACTCCACTTTTATTCTTTTCTTTTTTTTTAAATTGTGATTTGGGTGAAGATTTACAGAGCAGATTCACTTTCCATACAGCAATTCACATACACTTTGTCTCATGACATTGACCACAATTTATCACAATGCGACAAACAGCTCCCCTTCCACTTGCTCCCCATAGTTACCCCTTCCCAGTATCCATCCCTCCATGCACTCCTGCCCCCTGAGCTGTCTCCCTGTGCATAAGCAGCCCTTCTTTCTCCCATAATTGTTCTCTCCAAAGAGTGTTTATCTGAGGTAAATGTTCAACTCACATGCCTGTCTTTTGTTTGGCTGGAAACCACGGGTGTGGGTTCAATTCCAGACCTGAAGGGCAGCTAGGGGCCATAGTCTCAGTGGTTCCACCAGGCTCTATCAGACCAGCAAACCTGGTCCCCCCC